ACAGCACTTAAGGAAAATAATCTAGCTACGCGGGGTAGAGTTCGAAATAGAGGCTTGGATGACCTGCATTTAGAGCTGAATCCGATTGTGGTCAGAAACATTCTTGACACTTTTAAGAGAAAGACTAAAAATACATGTTTTTGTAAAATTTCGGGTCAGATTTAGACCACCTTCGTGTCTGAAAATTTGTTCTGGATAGTTCGAGTTTGAATCAGCGAATATTCGAAGCTAGTCGAGTATGTGTCAATAAATGTTGCCTCAATCCTAGTCTCTTAAAATGGTAGATCAAAATCTACACGGCAATAGGAAATCATAAAATGAACTGTACGAAGAATAAGATAAAAGGAAATCCGTGGAAGAAATGATGGACTGTAAAATCGCAGGAAAAAAAAGCTTAAACGTTAAACCTAAGAAGAAAAAGCATCAAACACAAAAACGCACTTTTTTATTTTCACTATAACTTCGTCGGGTTTCGTCCAATCGACTTAAATTTTTTTTTTATTAAATTCGTCTTGGAAATCTCTACAAAAATATCTGATAACTAGTTTTCTAACAAGAAAATTGTTAGAGTTGTGGAAACAAAAATACGACGACTAAAAACACCAACTTCATAAGGCAAAAAATGATTCTTTTTAAGTATCATCGTAACAGTCTAAGATAGGAGAAATTCGAGACGACCATTCGAAAGAGCACAAAATTCTCTACAAAACTGTGGTTTCAAAAAAAAATTGGATAACTCTAGAGCCCGCAATAGCTAGGAGCAATTTTTACATTTTCTAAAAAATCACCATTTTGGAAGCAGATTTTTGCTCGCCCCACGAAAAGTTCCATAACTCAGCCGTGCTCAATCGTGCTTTTTTTAACATTTTTTTTTTATTTTGTAGCCCGTAGTGTAATCAGTTCGACAACGTCACTTTTGAGAATTTTACGAACTGTTTGCTTACTCTTTTTGACTCAGAAAATCAAAAAACGCGTTTTTTTGGCTCTGTTATAAAACGTTGATTTTTTGAGCTGCCTGCGTTGATGTTAAAAATTTTTGGCATGCACTAGAAAGAGCATACTTTAAAGTAATAATATCAAGCAGAATCGAAGCCCTCAATTCAGTTACAGTTTGAGAAAATGTCAAAGAAAGTATAAAAAGCATGATTTATGAAGTTGGCGTTTTTAGTCACCCTCGCTTTTTGTTTTATAACTCTAACAGTTGTCATTTTAAAAAACTTGTTAAGAGATATTTTTGTAAACGATTTCATGGCGAATCTTATAAAAAAAATTTAACTCGACCGCATATTATCCGACGAAGATATACCGAAAATAAAAAAGTGCGTTTATTTCTGTTACACCCGTTACACACACAATGTGCAGCAAACTTTAATCCCGGGTTTCTAAAGCACACGAGTTTTGTGACCGATACTCATCGTGTTTTTTAACCGATTGTGCTTTTTACCTTTCTATGATAGGTACAGATATACGTGTCATGCGGTACAGAAAAACTGCAAATTCTATTGTAACATCATCTGAGTATATGTTTTATTAAGAAAAAAACGAAATGAGGTATCTTGTTTATGTAATCAATAGAGTGTTTATGAAACAAAATATTTGCTTACGTGATAATGAATGAGACTATGGGCGCTGATTGTACGGTTTTATTGAATTAAAATAATAGAACCAAATAAAAAGCTTCTTTATGACATGACGGTAGATTTGAATACATCAGATTAGAAAACTATTGTCAACGGTCGATTTTTAAGACAATATGCCAATCTAAAGGGTGGGGCAGAATTACTCTTTCGCACACAGATAATGGAGATAATGGAGATAAAACGTATTTGAAAGAGATATATTTATTTTATACAAAGGTAGGATGTCTCAAAAAAGGTCTAAAAAGGTTTGTGACATCCGGAGACACCTACCCTATGATAACATACACTAAAAAGTTTCTGAAAAGGATAACACATACATTAAGTAACGGTGAATAAAAGGTTAGGGTAAAGGTGAATGAAAGGTTCAACACCTGTGAAAGTGTAATTTGTAAAATCTGACGAGAGTAACACTCGTAGTGATGAATGAATCGGATTCTATCTCAACGTTTTGAAACAGTTATCGAGATGAAAACATTTACAACAGAAACATAAATTGTGCAATAACAAACATTAATATTTTTAAACCGAGAATTGCAATCTCAAATGAATAAATATAATATTAACCGCTTTGGCGGAAAGAACAAATCAAAGATTTGTGGCATAGCCACCTAGTAGTACAGGACCGGAAGAGCTGCCGCCTCACTCTGATATTATTCTACCCATCTCAATCTCCCCACAAATCAATCAATTATTAACCTAATAGTAACTAAAGTAAAAAACACAATGAAATTGATTACAACTATAACCATAAACACTACTAAAGGCACGCAACTAACAATCACCAACTCTAAATCTAAACTTAAAAATAAAATACAAAACCCATAAAATCACAATGAAATAGGGATCACCTTACATTGTATGAGTCAAACCGACACTCAAGAACCGTTGATTCCTCGTTGAAACAAATTTTAGTCATCCTTAACTCAAATAAAAGAAACAAAACGAAAGGTAAAACCATAGCTAAAGGAAAAATATAGTAAAAGAACGCAAGTTAATTACCCCAACACAAACATAAAATAATCAAACTCTTCTACAAAGTACTAATATTAAGCTGAAAACTCAAAATCATAGTGAATCCAAGCTTCTATGAATAAAACTAAAACAGTGAAACCTAGGCGTTTTCATCGAAAAAGAAGTATCAGCACGAGAATCAGCGTGATCGATAATCCTTTGTTTACTGTTGCTCGACCAGGATAGCTCGAGAACTGATGAGAAATCGTTCGTTATTTAATTTTTAATTTTTCTGCGCCTTAAAAGTTGATCGTAGACTACCATATGCTGAAGCTTTTAATCATTTTTGAGCAACGGTTCAGAAAGTCTGTTCGACCGTATTCATTCATTTTTCTCTGAAAACATTAAGTCTAAAAAATGAAAGACATTTTTTTCGTGTTTTCTGATTAATTTCGCTAATTTTGATGACATGGGGCCTTCCTCAAATTGAATGCTGTTTGATGAAACAGTGTTGCTCACTCTTAACTTATCTCGCATTCTGCCAACTTCGCGAATTCCAATTACATTAATTAGAGAGGACCCATTTCCATTTTTTGTACTAGTTTAAAGTACACAAGTTGTACATGTTATTGATCCACTTCTTAGAAAAGGCCCCCGTTTAGTTTTTGGGGTATATCGCTGTTTTTATCGCTGATTATCGTTTAAAAAGGCAAGTTTTTGCACTGATAGAACAAATGGGAATATCGTTTGAAGTATAATTTAGTAGAAATATAATAACTATTTACGAAGGAACCTTCCCAAATACCGGACAAAATTTCAGATCGAAAGTCGTCCATTCAATTTTTCTGAAAATACTTTGTCAGTTGGGAGAATACCAAATAAGTTTAGAGTGAGCACTCTCTTCCCTGAATGTATGAAAGGTGAAAGATAAGATAATTGCAGCTTTAAACATTTCTCTATCTGAAATTTTCGACCTTTCTGGCCATTTTAAAGAAAATAATAAAAATAGTGATGTATACACATTGAATGAGAAAAAAATAATACATTCCAGATCAGTTTACAACTACAACAAAAAACTTGTCATTTGTTAAATTGTCTGAAATTTTCATCGAAACTAAAGTTTTTTTCGTATGCTGATTGGCGATATTGGCAGTCGCATAACTCAGAAACTGAACGGTATCTTTTCCTAAAAAAGACTGAACCTAGAGTAAAACTCATTTTGCTGACGAATTACGAATGTCTCTGGAAAATGTCTGACTATTTTTGTTTTGTATTCTAACCTTTTTTTCTATAGTCTTCGTTTAACTATAAATACTGGTTAAAACAATTTCGTAACATCAAATAATACCGGTTAAATATACAAATCAATTAAGTCAAGTATAGTACAGAAAAGATACGTTTTTTTTGTTATACGATAGTTCCATATTCTTTTCTTCAAGCAGATTGAATACTACTTTTTTCAATTTTCTTTTCAATCTAGTTACCGTCGAATAAATTCACCGATGCAAATTTTGACGGCTCCCCTATATAGAAATTGATATCTTCGATGTTTTGGTGAAAACTGCATCTCAAAATCTTGCTTCCTCCCAAGCACGAAAAAAAATCATGAAGCGGGAGCTGCATCTAGATTAAAAGGTACATTTATCTAGCTTCAGCTAGCTGCACAGAAATACATCAAAATTTTATCTAGCATCAGCTAGATTGAAGCTAGTTTCAATTGAGTACAACTAGTTGCTATCGATTAATCGGGCAATTCATTACTCGATTAATTGGCTCATGCAGTGGCCGCTTCAGCTAGTACACAATTTCAACCAGCATGCAGCTAGATAAATGTACCTTTTAATCTAGTTAATCTAGCTGTAAGTGGGCGCTGCCGCTACTTCTGCAGCTAGATTTTCTCGTTTACATAGTTTTGCTTGGGCTTCAAAAGATATAATCGTTTTACTGAACTCAGTCCTACCATAGAAAAAGCACTGATTCTTTTATATTTAGTCTAAAGCTAGGACCAAACAAATATCATATTCTAAAGGAATACTCTACAAATATAACGTGATATTAGTTTAGAACAAGAGGGGGGCAGATTTCGATCCTTATCCGACGGGGTCCTTTGATATGATGATAGTCAAGTATAATAGTACATGTTAATTTTGCTCAATTAATTTTCGATTAATCATATATTTTATCAGAAAGAGATACTTTAGGGTATAGTTGAATTCAACGATATAACCGATATTAACCTGTTCTACTTTTAGAAAGCCTATTGAGAATGGAATAATACTAGTTTAACGTGTATGAGCAGTGAAAACATTGTTTACTAATATTCGATCAAAGTCTCATTCACCATGAAGCACTGAGGAATAGCAATGACGTCATTTGCTGACATCATAATTAGTTAATCTGTTAATAGTACTAAACATTCTTTATAATTCTAAGAAATTGTTTTTGTATTAGTTTTAAGTGACATAAAGAAAGAAAAATATTTTTTGTATTATAACCTCGTGTCGCATCAGTCGGATCAATACTTTGAGTATGAATAAAAAATGATTGAACACTAAGTGGTTCAATCGCTAACTCATCAGGCCATATACATGATAAACAATTACTAACACGTTCACTCAGTTGTTCACTATCCCAATCACTTTTGTTTGTTATTTGTAACTGTTGAAAAAACATTGACTTCCATATCCATGTTGTTAATGTATCTTCAAATGGTATACGTAGTAATTTCAATATAGCAAAACATGCTGATTGACATAGATTTAATCGAGAAAATATTTGATATTCGCATAATGAAAATGATATTCTCCAAGAAAACGTATCAGATAAATTATAATCTGCTTTAGTAACAACATGATAACCCCATTGTGTGAGATCATTTATTTCAATCACAGGTAATGAATGTTGATTAGCATTAGATGGCCATTGATTTAGTACTGGTATAGCTGGTGCAATATCAATTGAAATATGAAGATTTTTATATTTTTTTCCATTCCATTGTACATGTAATATAGCACCCACTTTACTTTGATTGACAAATGTTAAACAATGTTGACAATTTTCATGATAGGGTACAAGATTAAATTTTAAATATTGATGTTTCCACCATTTATATCGAAATTTATTTGTAAATGATGATTGTTGCATTAATAGAACAATATATAGACGAAGTTTTGATGCATTTAATAATTTTTCATTGTTATCTATAAACTCTTTCCATTTTAATTGAATATGAATATCATCAACAACTACTTTAATAAAACATGGAACACTTGTCTCGATAAAATGAATAGTTTTTTCTACAATAAAATCATTTTTACCAAACTCATATAAAAAATCAAATTCATCTGGTTTATCCATTTTAAAACCTTCGAAACCACTACCAGATGGTATTAATTGACTATCAGAAAAGCGATCATCAATATGTGCCATTTCAATAAGCAAATCGTTTAATACATTCTTTATTGTATTTCTAATTTCTAATTCTTCACTATTAACTATGAATTGAACAGAATTATTTAGAACCCAATTGAATAAAAAATCAGATAAGACGTGTTTATTGTTAATTGTTTGTAATTTTTTGACAATATCTTTATCTTTGATTTTTTCTACTGCAATTGTCTTTAAATTTTTTGTACTATAGGGTAATAATTTTCTTATGTTCACATTATTGTTTAATAGTTCAATTAAATTGTCTTTGGTCAAACATATTCTCGTAGATATGGGATGAAATTTCTGTTTTGATCGAAGGTTTTCACAACTAAACATATAGCAACAATCAAGAAAAGGCTGATATAAACACCTTAAGTGTTTTAATGTTTCACCGTTCAGACAAGGTTCTATAACGAGTATAGACGTGTACGGTGAACATGACAGTATTCAGAATTTTGACACTTAACCCACTGTAGTGAGCGGATACTGCGAAGTTCGCCATAGTATACTTTCGCAGTGGACTTTCGGCAATAATCGGCAATTGCCGAAAGTCATGCTCACTTGAAAAATTGCTGGTGAGTCACCAGCCTGGTGTTGAGTGTGAGTCACCAGTGGTAACTCACACTCAACACCCTCATCCACACAACTTTCGAGAATTGTCGAAAGTCCACGGTGAACGTTATGTTACCCTAATGAGCGAGTAAATGACTTTTTTTGATGTATTTCATTATCAAGGAATCAAAGATCGAATAACACAGGATAACCCCAAAAAAAACTTATAATACACAGTATTTTGACTCTCTTAGTCAGTTAACTCTCACTAATAGAAAAAATTACTTATGCACTGTTTATTTTATGTGAAATAATCCATTTTAGGTAGATGCAGCTAATATTAAGGCTGCCCCCCAGATCATAAATACAAAATCTTTTTAAAAAGTCGATATTGAACTAACCATATTATCAGATAGACCGTGATGTTTACTGTCAGGATCCATAGTTATTTGGTCTTCATCGACGAGCTGGGAAGGATTTTAGAAAAGTGTTCTAGAAACTTTTAAAAACTGCCCTTTCGAGAAGTTTGTCTTCTACTAAAAGGACAAAGTCAAAATTACTTTCAATAACAGCAGGACATAGAGCAAACATTATATCCGTGACACGACATTTCCACGAATTTTTCATAGTACACAGTTGGGTATTTTTGGCAGTACGTGATGGGCGGTGAGGGTGTGGGCAGTGTGAGAATGAGTTCGAAAAGTAGTTTCATACAGAATAGATGTTTTTGATGGTATATGAATTTTCTTGAGCTTTTCAAGTGCTTATCTGTTGTGTAACTAGTTAAATATAATGGTGTAATAAAATTTGAATAACGAGTGGATTCATCAGTAACACTAGGTGTTTCGTTATTTTTTTGAAGTTTAGTTTCTTTAAAATCTATTTTCAAAAATTTATGGAAGAGTCATGACGGATCTGTTGTCGCGGAGATGTCGACATATCCTCTCACTGTCCACAGCCCCGCCTCTGACCACACACTGAATGAAATACCCAACTGTGTACTATGAAAACTTCGCGGAAATATCGTTCGGGGAAATGTCGCTGCATCATCATATCTCAAAACTGATTTTTGTGCTAATGATCAAAAACCCATACAAGTTTTTTTTAAATATAGTTCATTATAAAGACCTGCGCGTTTTTTATTTAGTGGGGCGCTCGATACTCTTTCTGATGAGGGGAGGGACTTTTTTAATTAGGCTCGATGTCTGTAGAAAACCGCGTCTATCTGAAAAACCTTTTATAATATTTTAAGTTTTCGAGGTTTTTATGCTCCTCTAAATTAAAGAAACAAATAATAAAAGTATCCCTTCCCCCCATCCAAAGTGATAAATAGTTCTCTTTCAAATAAAATAATCCCCGGCTCTGTACCCTGAAGTATAGTGAAAAAGAGTTTGTACGGACAGAGGATCCACTTTGGGCCTTTAGCTACAGAAAACTGTTGAACGTTGAGGTTTGAAGAAGTAAACAAATTTCGTAATTTTACTTGTATGTCCAAACATTTGTGAAAAGTTTAATGAAAACCCTTGCACTGTATCGAAAACTGCTTTTGGAAGAAGAGGACGGCCTTAAAATTCTTAACTCATCTCAAAGTCATCATATATACCCGACAGTTCCAAAAGTAGGATGTAACGCGGAATTCTAAAATATTTTTGATCGAGTATACCAAACCTAAAGGGCAATTTATTTCGAGTTTGAAGAAAATATTTTGGACTTTCTATTCATGAAAAGAGACTGACATTCTCTTAGAAAGACAGTCTTCACGAAGGATCTTGAAAACTGATTTTCTATTGAATCATCTCAACTGATCTTCTGAAAGTATCGAGGATGTTACTGGACATTACGGGAAAACAAGTTTTGTTGGAATCTTCATCATAACAATAGCATAGATCTCGAAAGACAAACTGAAATACACTTCATTGAGTTTTCAGTTAGTTATAGAAATATGAAACCTTACACAGTTTTTCTTTTTATTTCTCGAAAAATTCTTCCAAAATGAGAAATGGTTATTATTAATTACTAAATGGGCTCTTTAAGTCATCTTTAAGTAAATAAAAAAGTATTTTTATAAATTATTTCACATTCTTTTTAAAGGGTAAACTCACCTGAGTATTGATACTCCTCTGATCCCGGCATGCAACATTGCAATATCTTCAGACGTATGTCCGTCAATATCTATTGAGCTTTTAACTGCTCCAAGCTGAAGAAGAATTTGATAAAGATGGTGATGATTAGTCGATGCAATTATATGCAGTGCAGTTCGATGAAAAGAATCTCTTGTGTTGAAATTTGCGTTGAAATCACTTAATGTTAGAATAAGATCAATTGCTGATGCTTTAGTTTTCATGCAAGTTATTATATTTTCATATAGGATATGAACAAGAGTTTTACCAGTTAATTTCTCTTGAATATTAATCTTATAACCAGCTTTTAACAATACAACTAATGTTTCAAGTATAGCTACTAAATTTTCAAATTGATTCAATAATATGCCTTTAGCTAATGCATCAATAATTGTTATATCTGTTTGCCAAGATGGGTTAACTGTCGTATGTTCTTCAATCAAATATTTCATAATTTTTGATTTACATTTAAAAGCAACAAAACTAAATATTCTCCACTCATGGTAACGTACTCGAAAAGGATCGTTTGATTGCCAACGTGGACCTTTATCTGGTTCATGAAATTTAAATACTTCATTGATATCTGCACCATTATCAATAAGACTGTGAATAATTTCAACTGATCCAGCATCAATAGCTAAACGCATGGGAGAATTATCGATGTTATAAGACAGATTTGGATTGGCATCCATCTTTAAAAATAATTGAACAAAATAAATTGCTTTTAAAACTATTGCATGTTCCAACAGTGTTTTATTTGCTCCATATATTTGATTAAAGTCTATTTTTGATCCTCTATTTAGAAGACTTTTAGCGAAATCAAAGTTACGAGAAGATAAGGCAAGAAAAAATGCGTTTTCATTTTTGTTTGTTAGAGCATTTATATCAGCATGATAATGATCTACTAAAAGATTTAATATATCCTCTCGATTATAAATGGCACAGTGATGTAAAAGCGTACGACCTGTTTGATCCAACATATTTACATTTGCTTGCGGTTGTTGTAATAAAAGAATAATTATATCTATTGATGATTTTTCCACAGCTAAATGCATTGCCGTTAAACCTGGACTTGTTAATAATGTTTCTATTTGTGTACTAAATGAATCTAATCTTGCCCCCATTTCTAAGGCATAAATAATTTTCTCTCTATCTTTATGAATAATTGATGAACGAAGAACAATATCCCATAACAACTGTACATCGGTAAGTCTGTAAACAGAGATTAATGCTTTCAATGTTTCTGTATGTAGATGTAATGCACCAAGGTATAATGGCAGTTCATGTTGACAACATCGTCTATTCTCAACAGTACCGTTTTCTATCAAATAGACTGCGACGGAAGTAAAATCAAAGCGTACAGCATATTGTAAAGCATTCCAACTGCGATTATCTAGTAGATTTACATTTGCGCCACCTAATACTAAGCGTTTCACTTCCTCAAGATCTCCTCGCTTTGCTACATAATGGAGTACAGTAGAATATGCTTGATCACGTAGATTAACACTAATATTATATTTATTAAACATTATCCAATACAGTTCATAAAAACCATTCATTGCTGCTAAATGTGTAGCTGGATAAAATTGAGCACTTCTTACAGTATTTTGACTATCGGCATCTAGTAACAGTTTAAATAAATCAATATATCCGTTTCGAGCAGCTAACTGTATCGGTGCTCCGTACTTATTATCTACAATATCGACACTAGCACCAGCTTTTAAGAGTAATTGTACAATAATTAATTGATTATTTTCTACTGCATAGTGTAATGGAGTCCGCAGTTGAACTTTATCTCTAGCATTTATATCAATATTAGTTTTTAAGATTAATCGTATAATATCAAGCTGATCGTACAATTCAATGGCATAATGAAGAACATTTTTACCATAATGATCAACTACGTTTACACAGGCACCACATATTAGTAATTTTCGTGTCCAATCAATATTACAATTTTTAACAGCAGCATGAAGTGGTGTTTGAAAACTTGTCATACTAGACTTGAAACAAAAACATGGCCATAATAATGGCTTTTCTTGTTTAATCATTCTTTTATTTCTATGAAAGAACTTGTTAGTGCAGACTTGTGTTGGTGATCTAAATATAGATATCTGATGCTGAGTGATATATCTTGATTAATCAGAAGTCTTAGAAAGCTAGTGTAAGTCTCTTATAAGTATCACATTCAAATAAAATCCTGAATGGTGGCTCATTATTAACTAATCAATCGATCTGCATTATATTCACCGTGAATTATAGAATCAATCACGAGTAGAACAGTATTTTTCTACAACTGGAAAGCTTGATAAACTGACTCGAGTCACTTTCCCACAAGTTTTTGATTGTTAGAATGAAAAAATTTAATTTTGTTAACGCGTTTGAAACGTAATAAAGATATGTTTTAAGGTGTTTTTAAACTTATTAAGTGGGATAATGTTTTCTATAAGTCAATTGAATTATATTGCCTCAATCCTTAGATGTAAGTTACCAGAAAAGAAACAAGGTAACATGTAGCTTTCTTAGTTTTTTATCTGAGTTTATGAATAGGCGTGAGAAAACGTTCTAAGCTATAAACTTGCATACGTTAATTTTGATTGAATTTCTTAGCAAATGTTTGAGTTGGTGTAGCCGTCAATTAAAATCGTTTCATCCTATCTTTTTCCATCTAGTAATGATTATTCATATAATGTAAATAAACAAAATGGTGTTGTCACATGCTCAAGAAAAATATTTCTGTCACCATTATAAGATTTGAGTGTTTTTTAGACAATGACCCGTTAAAAACTGAAAAATGATGTATACGTGTGACAAGAGAAATACATCAAATAAGATGTCTTTCAGGAAAGACGACGAGGTGTTATCAAGTGAAAGTGCACTTGTACCAGGGACTGGAAAACGAACAAAAAAGGCTTGAGCATGAAAGTCGATACATTATCAGTTGTTACCTAGCAGAAAAGAAGGATGAGCTTATGGGTGGAAGTTTTTGTGATCAATGATAGCGGCGTATCCAAGGGGGGGGGGAGCAAATGGGCAATTGCCCATTTCATTTGAGGATTTGCCCATTGTAATTTTTATTAGTAAGTTTTTGCCCATTGAAATTTTACTTAGCAGATATACTCAGGCGGTTTCTTTTTGTATAACCTTAGAAAGATATTTGTAAGAGTGCCTATAGACAGAATTGTTTGTTTATTTTTGAAATAGAATCTAATTCAAAAATTAAAAGGATCTCATTTCATTTTTTTTTGTTCTTTTTGGACCAAAAATCTTTTGGCCCATCGACAAAAACCTTGCCCATTTTGCCCATCGTTTTTTTCCGCTACAATAGAAGTTTGCCCGTTGTACTAAAAATCCTGGTTACGCCGCTGATCAATGATGATCGCATTGAAATCGGTATTATAAGACAAGGTAGAGCACGATTTCACAGCAATACTTACTTCCTAACTGGCGTACACCTTTGCGAGCAAAATTTTTATTCTATTCTGTATTGTTGTACGTTAACAGACAGATCTGTAGTGTCAATAACAGAATGAAAAAAGTACGCTGCGTTGATCATATAAATATGTTTGCTTTTACTTTTGCTGCTGTACCTTACGGAGACAAACAATTTTTTTGTGCCTATGACAACACCATTTTGTTGATTTACATTATATGAATAATCATTACTAGATGAAAAAAGAAAGGATGAAACGATTTTAATCGACGACTACACCAACTCAAAAAAAAAGGAAAAAGAATACTCGCCTTTTAAAAACCGTGTTTTTGGGGGTTTAAAAATCGAGTTTTCAAAATTTCAAAAACTCTTCAGTTTATTCGATGTATAATTTGATTCTGAACAACATTTGTAACGAAACTTTTGTTTCAAAATGCTTCCCCAAAGCGAAATCATGCTCTAGGTTTTTCAGAAATACTTTTGGCTTTGAAGGTGAATCAGCCATCGAGCGAAGGTCCCTAAGTGGTTAATCGCTTTTTTACCGAAACCTAGTGGACAGTAGGTAATCGACTATGCTGAATCCGAATATGACAACCATTTTGGCGGATGGATCTCCATAGAGCGGTTTTCTTGGAAACCAGTTTTCCAGAAACTCTAAATAATAACCAAAACGTTTCTTAATAAAGCATAATTATAGCCTTCTATAACCTCTTCCAGCTCTACACGACCTTTCTTTGCAAAGTTATAGAATTTGCAAGAAAAACTCTAAATTGATTTCGTCTTATTTTTGTAGCTTTGAGCTAACAATGAACATTTAGGGCTTTTCTTGTAAATTCTATAACTTTGTAAAGGAAGGGCATGTGGAGCTGGCGGATGCCTCATTTTAATCAGAAATGCACGGGCTACAATAATGCTTTATTAAGAAACGCTTTGGTGATTTTTTAGTTCCTGGAAAACTGCCGATCTCTGGAGACCCATACGCTCAAATGGTTGTAATATTTGGGTTCAGCATAGTCGATTACCTACTGTCCACTAGGTTTCAGTAAAAAAGCGATTCAGCATTGACTTAAGCATCAGATTTTAATTGATATAGTATTTTTTGTTCTTGTCTGTTTAGAGTCGTTATTATTCTCGGTGTGTCTAAATTTGAATTGATAGCAAGATAAGGTTTCATTTTTACAGTTGATCTGAACTCATTTTTCCATAACTCCTTTGTGTGATCGTGTATCAAATTTGATGTTTCATCGAATGAATATGAATATACTGCTGTTGTTGAAGTTGTTATTGTGTTATTAGTGGTAATCGGTCGTGCTGATTCATGTGCTATGTCATTTTCAACGCTTCCACAATGTTGGAAACCGATGAATATTAATTACGATATTGTTGTAGCTCATTGATTAGTTGTTTAATTCGTGAAATAGTATTATTATTAGTTCGAGATGATTAAATGCTTCTTATCATTCCTTGATTGTCACAGAATATTGTGATTTTAGTATTAGATGATAATAAGCTTTTCACATATTCGATAGCCATCCATAGCTCGAATTTCTGCAAAATATGACGAGTAATATTTTCCCAATAATTGTGTACGAATTACATTCAATTTTAGAATATAAAACGCTGCTGAAGACAGATCATTGATTTTTGAGCCATCTGAGCAGATGATTATCGTCGGATTCAGAGTGTTCAGTTATTGGCTGTCCAAAAATTCAGTAAAAGATAGAGACTTGTGATTTCCGGCAGTCGAAAGAAGATAGTTTAACCTAATACGCAGAAATAATTTCAAAAAATTCTTAAAATTGTTTTTTTTAGAGGGTCTCTGAAAACCAGTTCCTGGGTCAAAAGTTTTACATAGCAATCGATCGATCTTTTCCCATAAACAGATATACTTCCAGAGTACCCTCTATAAAATAAGATCCAAGCGAAAGTTTCATTTTGCTTAGTTAGGGAGCTTTGGACATTTTTCCGAAGTCTTGCGACTTCGCTATTCTTCGATCTGGGACCTTTAGAAATGCAGGAAAACATATGTTGTCGATTATGTTGAGTCTTGTGGCAATGTTTGTTGCTGCAGCCTATGAGCTATCTATTGCGAGTTTAGTTCCCACGTTTAGTTCCCACGTTTAAACTGTTTTTCGCCGAAGATCTTTCTTAACGCGTCGACTGAGACGCAACCATTAGTTCATTTAGTAGTGATTTAATTGTTGCATTTATAGAATAGTTTCTTGGTGAGGAATTACGTATTTTAAAATCACATGACGAATTGACATAGAATAGTCTGTTATTCAAACACGACTGGGTACGTACATAAAATATGTCTGATCATATTTTGCTTCCGTTTTCTTTCACTAATAGCAACAACGTAGGTTTTCAAATATGACTCACATGTGACATATATTGTTTATGTATGATTACTTTGATCGCTGTTTCAACAGTAAAACATGAGCTGTCGAGCAGTCCTGAATTATTAAACAATACTAGTTCTTTGTCTGATAATCGTCAGAATATTCGAATACATTTACTACCTGTTGAGCACACGTTACATCGTGATACACATGATAACGGTCGCTTATTGTGGCGATCTGCATTTTATCACCAGACATTATTCTTCCACCAGTAGTAATAAACTTACTACTATCTCTAATAATCTCATAAATTGATTTTTAGCTTTAAGATGAAATAAAATAAAACTGGCTTGAATTTGATCCTGTAACAACCTCTTTGAAAGTAATAAAGTTAGCAATCATAAATAAGGGACGTCCGGTCAGATGGGTTCCCTCTCAGTTATTGAAACTACACATCGATTTATCAAGAGCACATAGGTTTTTGGTAAAAAGCGCTTTCAGATGAACGGGTATCAGAAAAAATATTCAAGTCAAGTCCGTTCCTTTTTCTACCCATAAAGGGAAGACGACTTGATTGTTTTCATATGTAAAGAAAGAATATTAAGTTTCTTTTCTTTTTTTGAAGAAGCAATTTGCAACACAAATAGAACAACAACAACAATAAATTCATTATCAGCCGAATTATGTTTTCATGTGTTTGAATATTTCAATATGCTTGAATTGCTTTATTCTTTTTTCAACATTAATCAGCGAATAAACAATTTCTTGACTTATCTAAGATTCTTTTGTTCAGTTCATTTAAGTAATGTAAATGAATAAGAATTACGAAACACTTTTTCAAATATATTATTAAAGGTGAAACGATAACAAATATCGCGACTAATCGATGATCTTCTCAACCATCGCGATTAATCACCGAAAAATCATTATAAAAACGACCGAAGTGATAGCTATGCAATTTTAACAATTATGATAAACGAGCTTATTTTTTGAGTATAAAGAACTATTGTAACAGCAGCTAGATAGCTATAACTGCTGTTACAATACTTCTTCTATTCAATTTTCTGTTTGAGGCGAGGAAGCTGAGAATTTGATTAGTAGTTGATGCGGACCTGAACGTCATCGGATGATAAGTGACCGTGGGGATAGTGAACGTCATAGGACGATAAGTGATAGTAGACACACTAATTGGAGCGCGAGTAATAGTGAAATCAGTAGGAATCGTAAGACGATTGATAGTAGGAACACTGATAGGCATAGGGTTGTAAGTAATAGTCGGAACAGTGAACGTAGGAATAGGATGATAAGCAGGAATAGAAAAAGTAGGGACGTTAGAAAAAGCATTAAAAGGGCAACATATAAAACCAGTAGCACAAGAATTGAAATTTAGATCCGGTAAACAGATAACACCTTCAACCGCACGTTGCTTTCGGGATAGAGCAACATCTCCGCTGTTATCCCATTCATTGTCCTGTTTAAGGGGCCTACCATGCATTCTGACGATAATTAGTGCTAGAACTATAAGGACGAGAGCCATGTTAACCAGTTAATGATATAAATAAATTATGTTCTCGGATTGTTGTTAATGTAAGTTATGGGGATGAATGATTTGTCTACATCTATTGCAATAGTTTCTAAGGTGCCGGAAATTCAAAAGTACCGTGACAAAAACGAATCTAGTCGAATTATACATGGTTGGATACAGCTCGCCGAGCTGATCACGAATATAAGTTTCAAAAATGTTTGAAGTCAAACGAACGGCAGAACAAGTTGAAAAACGAAAAAACCGCTTGTTTTCGAGAAATTGAAGGTTTCCACCACTTTGTGGGCTGCAAAAATTTTTCTCTCTATTTTATTTGAATTCACCATCAAAAGTTTAGTAGATTCAAGTGACTTTGGAAAATTTTTGACCTCCGCCTATCGCCGTCCGTGGATGTTAGACCCAGATTGAGACCTCGGTCGGGCAAACCTATCTCCCCCCTGGTTTTGAAAATAAACGGGTACTATTATACACCATTCGAACCGCCTTTTGGCGGGCTACAATAATATGCTCGTCTTTTTTCAAAAATATTTTTCCCTTCAAAGAAGTCGATCTTCTTATATGCCTTCAGTATTGATAAAGTATAAGAACCTACCTGATCGCATCTAGTCATATTTTGAAGTAAGGTGCTGGAAATTCAAGTCAGGACAGGACAGTTAGGGAATGTATGCACCTTATAGTAACCTGAAGTGGTCAACTCACTTTGGCAGACTCGCTCTAAGTAATGTGTAAAAAATGGTTCGATCGACGCAAAAATTTTCCACAGATACTTTAGACTCTATCTCACGCTAGTTGCTTTCTTTTCGAAAATTATACTTTCCTTCTCGAGATATTCGAATTATACTTTCCTTCTTTCGATGTTCTGGTGAATGATCGTTCTGCGCATGATAGTATGTACACTTGTTTTCGTTCTATTGATATGCATTTGTTATTTGTTTTCTTACTTGTCTAAGTAATTTTTGTTGCCTAAAAATGTCCTTATACTCCGGTCCCGAAGTCGATTGTTCATATTCATAATTTCAAGGTGCAACCTGTCTTGGCTGTCCTTGCTGTCTTGCCGGTTCCGGTGGTCGCACCTAGACCTGTACGCCGATCGGAAAATCGGCGGCTGTGTGTAACAGAAGTTTTTCGACCAGCGGCGGCGGCGGAACCTCATTCAAAGCTTTTCCGCCGTCGGCGGCGGCAGCTAAAAGAAAATGTTTAATCGGCGGCGGCGGCTGAAAGATTATTTAAAGATTTTCATCGTCAGCGGAGGGGTCAACCACAACCAAATTTGAGTACAAAAAGTTAGTTTAGTTTAAATAGAATTACTGATCAATAATGAATACCTCTTGGTAGTTAAAATCTCTATAAAGCGTTGTTGTGTATGAGACCATTGAAATTATGGCTAATAAATATTCTTATCTTATATTGGTAATGCCTATGCAGATATAGATGACAGAGACATACTGAACCAGTGATTCCGCGTGTTTCTCATGATTTTTTCACGCAAAACTTTTTTTATCGGCGAAGGCTAAAGCAAGCTTTTACGGCGAGAACCTCCACAAAACTTGGACGCCTCGGCGGCGGCGGCGGCGGCGAAGTGGTCCAAAAAATTTTGACGTCTTCAGCGACGGCGGAGCCGGAAACCTTAGTTATCCATCGGCGGCAGCGCGGCGCACAGGTCCAGTCGCACCGATGCTAATATGAGAGCGACTACCACAATATACATGATTAATGTAATATCTCGCCATGTCGGGTGTACCCGATGGGCAAGATCTTTGAGTTGTTTTCGATGCTCATCTGGGCGTCTGCCTACTTCATTATTGATAACCACATGTAACGTCTGTTTGTGTTTATCATCGACATGCTGCACCGTCTGTGTGTGAGAATCATGTTTATTATCTCCAAAAAACATGTTCAATTCTTATTCAATAATCAATAATGTATAAATAAATGAATAGAAGGAAAAAAAGTTTTTTACTATTAAGGTTACGATTTGGTGTAGGCGAGCCTTGGCATTATATACCGCACTTCTTATCGCTAGAAACATGTTTGACATCTCGTCGAGAACATTTTTGGCCTCAAGAATTTGACCTCTCTGCTCCTTCCAATATTGAAGGTGAGGGTTGCTTCTGAATTAAGGTTCTTGCTAAGTTCGATGTCAACCGATAAGCTACCATTAATTCCAGAGTTAATGGGGTTTCGTCAAGCATCTGTCTCCATTCCTCGTATATTAGTGGCACTATTTGTGGGTGAATAGGTGTATACGACAAATGGGATAGGACATCTCTGTTCCAATTAATAGCTTTTTTATGTCTCAGTAGGGGGGTCTCTCCTTTTCCAGTCCGTCTGACGTAATTTTACTCGAATGCATTTATAATTATTTGTGAAATGCGTAAGATCTAGACTGTGCGTGTGAATGTCATTCAAAAGTCTGTTAAATTGCTGATCAATAAAACTTGATGGATACTTATTGAGCAGCAATCTGTATCTTATCTCTGAAAATTCTCTTAAACAATCTGCTATGTCTGAGCAGATACGAATGGCACGAATATAAGCAGCATACGGGATGTTCTTTTTTATATGCCTTGGATGTGCACTGTCATACAGTAATACATATGGTTGTGCCGCTGGTTTTCGAGAGACTATCGTTCGTGCCGTCGGGCAACGTACAAAGATTGTGACATCCAGATAATTAACAGTCTTGCCGATCTCATATGTTAATTTTATATGTGGGTCTTTTTCGTTGTAAAATTTTAATCTGTCCTCAACTTTTTCTGGCCTCAACCTTGAGGTGATAAAAATATCGTCTCTAAAACGCAGGTATAACTAGTTTTCAGCAGTCTGCTGCGCTAAGAAGTCTTTCTCACATTCATACATATATATGTCTGCCAATACCTGAATTACAGCGCTGCCCATGGCCCCTCCCTTTATTTGTTTGAAGAATTTTTCTCCATATGCAAAATATGAGTTGTCTAACACATGTCGATTCAACTTTGCGAAAGTATCAATTGATATGTTACCAATCTTAAACTTTCTACGCGCTGCTAGTAGTCTACACACCGCGGAAACTGGCTGTTTCTGGGGAATCATCGTATACAAATCAGTTACATCAAAAATAGCCAGAATAGTATCTTCAGTCATGGAATACCTTTCTAGATGGTTCAAAAACGCATCTGTATTCTGTAATGTATAATGAGCCGTATGCTGTTCAAATATCGGTCTCAATGTTTTGTCTAAAAAGTGTGATATACGTGCCACAGAGGATTTTATCTGCGCTACTATTGGTCTCAATGGTGCGCCTGGTTTATGATCTTTCGGGTGGTAATATAAATGAGGTAGCTCACAGTCTTGAGGTGGTTTCAACTTCTCGTATACTGTTTTTGATATACGTTTATTGCTCAATAAGTCAGTTAGCAGCAACTTCGTACTTTCAATTATTCTTTTCAACGGATGTTCATTGATTTCCATATAGGCGTCGATTCTAGCCATATAGATATCTGATTTTTTCTCATAATTTTGAGGTAAATCAATGTTCAGTACTTTCGATTTATCTGTCTGCCTAAACAATATCTCATTTTTACGTTGTCTGTCTCTAAGTTGCTGTAACGATGCGCAAGTCTGTGAATATTTGCATTGGTCTTGAGCAAAGCCTTTTTCCAAACAATTTACAATAGTACTTTCTACTTTTTGTGCAAAATTATCGATCATCGGTAAAACGAATCTAAGATGAGTCGGTTGACGTTCATACTTGTTTTTTATGTTGTCAGTCATGACTTTTATTTCACCTGGTAATCGTCGCAGTGCCTCTGCCTAGTTGGGATGGACATACTTTGGACCTTTTCGTAATATCATTTTTTGAGATGATGTCAATGATATTGCTGTATTCGTCGCCTGCGGTAATAGACCGTACATGCAATGATGGGAGTGACAGGCGCCAGCCTTAACTACCGTCCTTTGGCTTCTTTTAATCTTTGTTCTAAAAAATGGATCTTGGCCTCAAGATTCCTACCTTCAATCTTTTCTCTTATTGTGTAAATTCTGTCAAGAATTCCTTGATATTCTTGTGACAGTCTCGCTTTAGACATTATGATTTGATTATCAATCTTTTTGATTTCCAGATTTTTGGCATCAATCATGCATTTTAGCATGATTGTTTTTACTTGTAGGATAGACATATCCCAATCCTTTTGAATTACGGGATTTCGATTTTCGTCTGAAGTTTTATATCAATTACGTTTAGCAAAGGTGGTGGTTCATGCATCCTGGCTCCGGTCTCGAGCTTTTTTAGTTGAGTAATATACTGTAATTATGTACCTTTTACTGCGATAAGGGTGTTCCATTCCTCTCAATGAAGTGTTTGTCAACCGTCAGGTCGTTTTCCATCTTATCTCGATACTCGGTAAATATTAGATTGTGTTCCTTTTTCATTTGAAAGAGAATAATATGGTTAATCTCTCCTTTCAATTGTTTAATCAGAACCGTTTTACCTTGCGCAAGTTGCAATAATTTCAGCTGCCTTTAGATGAGTGAGTTCCAGAATTCATTTAAAGGATCTTGAAAGTCCTTGCATTACTAAGTACAACAAAGTGGAAGACAGAGTTCTCAAATTCTGCTATAGAACTACAATTTGCTATAGGCCATCCGTTACAATTTTTTCTTCCATATATATGCAGAGATTTTGGGAATTTCTGCTGTGCATATGATGTTGGGTAGCTACTCACTCTCATCGTCGCACGCCACCCCACCCCACATCATGGTTAGTAACAGATTTCTCACTAGCAGAGTCCGTATTGGAAACTCAACATGTTGAATTTTTCTAAGTATTTGATTATCATGAGGCGCTAACCCTAGACAAAATCCTATGCACTTCTTATCTGTTTCCTACCAGGATCCTATAGGATCCTAAAAATTCAGGATCCTATTACGATTGGTGTAGGATCCTAATAATTTCCTGACAGGATCTGAGATGTTAGGCTCCTATCAGGAATCTCCGATCCTAACATTTAGGGTCCTGCTAGGATTTTGTTTCTTAATGAATAAGGACAGTTAATCTCAGGTTGAAGTAATAAATGTATACGCGCCATTTTTAAATGCTTTAGAGTTACAAAGAAATATTTAGTAACTTTTGGTCAAATTGAGACTGTTCACATATTGCGAGAGCGTATTTTCAGCGACGGGATACATGTGCTGTTGTCGCCATGCGGTTGCAGTTGCTATGACATCTAAGATATGATGCAAGGAAGAAGTCTCACCCGTTTTTGAAGTTTAATTAATTTAGTAAACTTGTTGTTTTGATCAAAAGTTTTCTTAAAGTGCTCACCTACATTTGACATCCTACCCATATCTAACATACTTATGCATCTTCGCAGTAGAACGGCAAACTCTTTTTTCTAAATTAAGAAGAGCGTGGAATACAGCACAGATTACTGAATTTAAAGAGATCTAAGTCCTCATAAACTTTTTATCTACTTTGTTGTCGTGTCCGCTATGCATGCCGTTATAGCGCATATATCTATTGACATTTGTTCCACATTTGCGTATTCTGTCTCTCTCTGGAAAAGAGCAAAGATTGGCATACAGAAGTAGCTGCAGTTCAATCTTTTGACCGCGGAGAAAAGATTAAAACTTAAGCAACGGGCGTTTACAAAGGTCAGGTTAGGGACTCCAAAAAAAAGGAGTTAACGTCATTTGTAAATGCTTCTAAGTGAGAACGGATGGAGAAATTTCACGAGAGATAGGAACATATAAGCAATCCTATGAAATTCCTGTTCAAGAATTATCTTTTCCTACTAAAATCCTAAATAATTCCTGCTACGTTATGATTCAGTCATCGCATTTTCTTGCTAGGATCCTAACAGAATCCTGGCAAATTCTACAACTTTCCGGTATACCTGATTTCTTTAGGATTCTGTAAGATTTCCCTAGGATCCTACCAAAAAGCCAGCTAAATCCTGGCAGGATCCTGGCCGGATTTCTCCAGGATCCTGTCAAGAAATGTATAGGTTTCTGACTAGGGTAGAAACAGTATCAGAAACTCTTCCTAAATTGTGGCGGTCTCCTAGCTATCTTTCCAGTGATCTACACGACTGTGACAAAACTATATCAATGAATATTAAGACAACACGCACGCAATAACGACTATACTTGATTATAACAACTGATAAAATGTTAATAAAACTCATATTTTGAATTTACGAATTTTTGTATTCTTTTGAATTGAAAAAAGAAGAAGCTTCTCTGAATTGTTGAATTCCAAGAATTGATAAAAGTCACAGTTTTTCAGAGTTGTGTCAAGATGTTTTAGTATAATCAAAGCTCTTACTTGCATCGGTTTTCCTAAAAGAACATTGTTTGTTGGAAAACGTGTATATCAAAGACGAATGAATGGCACACCGCAGTCCAGATTTCTGAGCTTTAAAAAATTCTTTTTTCCGAATGACGCTGTCTAGTCATTTGTTTATCGTTACCTACTTCGATATTTAACAAATAAATAAATGGCCTCTAAAACAGAAAATTATTGGTGGTATATGTTTGACGGAACTTTCCTCCTGAAAGCGTCATCTATCTAAAAGCTTTAAATTCTATGATAAATGTTTGATCAAGTAAACATTAAAGTGCACGCTTATATGTAATCGACTATGCTCTTCAACCTGATATCACTTATTTTGTCATATTTGAAGAGATTCGCACTATCAGAATTAATAACGGAGGCGTCCCTACTCTCTTATAAGAAAACAAATATATATATCGGTTTTCACGTAATAAAACACCATCAAAACAAGGACATAAAATGTCTTAATATGTTGATGTCAATATATTTCCTTGTGAGCTATTTCAACTGTAATCCGTATAATACATAATCCTCGTTTCTTTTACCAATGATATAGAATTACTTGTTATACTCGTCAATATTATGTATATCTAAAAAACGACGGATATAAATCATGTATATACTTTTCACCTCTTCACACAACAATCTTCATTATGAAGATCATAATTCGTCTTTTCTATACGTGGACTGACTACACATCTTACATCAGATACTATAAACTTTATCTCTCTTTATGGTTCTTAGGTTTATTCACGACTCATACGCAGTTACCACTGTTCTAAGTCAAGAAATGAATCTCTGCAGCTTTTATTGTAAAAGTCAGTTCTTTTTGTATGTAAAAACTCGAACATTTCAAACTTTTCCGATAGATGATTCCTTCTTTTTCAACATGACTTGCATGATTTTGTAGAGCTCATCGAGCTAACGCATGAAAACATAGGTTATCGCCCACGCTGAATCTTGTGGAAATGTTTGTTTTTCGCAAAAGCAGAAGTTAGAGTTGTTTTCGTGAAAACAGAAGTTAGAAATACAGCTAAAAACTCATTAATATTGTAAAAAGCTCAATAAATGTAAAGATAGAAAAAACATTGTACGAAATATTTTTAAATGAACTCGGCTACTTAATAGAAAATAACAAGAGATGACTGAACCCTGTTTTTTCCGTATATGAGATGGAATGCAAAAACTTTCCATTTCTTCGACGTGATCCGTTTCGATTTCTGATACTTTATAAGATCCCTACATCCAACTAGACTTGGCCTATAAAAAGCACATTGTATGACCTAATTGGTGAAAGGAAATACTGAATCTGACCTGCATTTTATTCGTTTCAGTTCAGCATATTGTAAAAAATGGATGTCATTCGTCGAATGTTTGTCAATATAATCATAAACACACTGTAAAAAATAAAGCGGGCCACGGGTGAGTAAAATCGTCTCAGTGGGTAAAACGGATCCATTTAGATAGGTCACGGCTCACTAGGTCATCTCTGTAATTCAGAGACACACTGCTGCTGAGTCACTGACCTACTGTCGCCGCCGTTTCCTTAGTTTCCTCAGTGGATAAAACGGATCCATTTAGATGAGTCACTCAGTAGGTCACTGACCTGTTCTTGTGTATTGATAGCAACCCACCAGACTTAATGATGTATCCGTTATCAGATCTGGTGATGTATTAGCAGACCACCAGAGTTGAAATTTCCTCCATTATCTTAGAGAAATTGTAGATGGATATGATTGGTTGACTAATAGATAGAAGTACAAATGAAATGCGTAGTATACTTATATTACTGTACTTTTCAGAGTGAATTTTGTTGAGAACTCAGTAATACACCAAAATAATCCCCTAAATTTTCTCATTCTGTTGATGTGTTGCTATTTGTTTTTTGATGACCGAATAACGGAAAAATATGTACTGCAACTAGCGTTTTGTAACCAAAGGCATTTTCTCCCAGATTACTACCGAACGTCATGAATTGAACATCTTAGACGAGTGTGTGATCCAATGAAAGCAGAGATATTTTTTCAAACGTTAACGTTTATAGTCGAAATTCAAACTGATGTTTTCAAAAAAATACAATCTGATACAAAGTTGTTTCCGTTAATCAAAGTTCAAATAACGTGTCACGGTTGTGGTAAACAGAGTCATAAGAAATTTAGATGTTCAGCAAGGTGCACATTTTGTCGTGGCAGTAGACATTCGAAGGAGTTTTGCAAGAAAAAGAACCAAGTTGAGCTTTAGGACTCACCTAGATGGATGAATACGTAATTGAACTCGAGGGATGACACGATGATTACTGAACTCAAAGCACATGGTTCGGGTAGGAATGGAACACCACACAGTTGACTATCTATGATGAACCACTACATAACCACCTACCACCTCGTACGACTAATAATACCAAACACTTAAAGATAAGTGGTAACACTTCGAATAGAAACACAGATAATTATAATAATAATAACAAATTTAATTATGTATCTAATTAATTTAATTAATTACATGATTCTGTAGATAATATAAATAATAGTAATAATGATAATGTTAATGATGTAGATAAATTAAATAACAATTGTTAACAATCAAGTAAATTACTCGCTATACACGCACAATATGGAAAACAATATAGTATCTGAATTTCTTTCAGTGCTATACGGCACAGACAGCGCAATTAATAGTCCAAAAAAATGATTTTTACATAGGTATGTAAGAAAAAAAGAAATATAATTTATACATTTTGCTGCCTCCCACTATGTTACCTTTTCTACCTTGGACCCTTCAAATGATTGATTGTACAGATAAGTGTATCATTTAAAAAAGAAACAAAATTTACCTTTATATCACATACTCATGGCGAGCGCATCAGATTCGGATGAACAACTTCCATTCAGCTGGGATAAAATATGCAAAATTATAGAATCAGGTGAATTAGGTCGACTCATGCGGTACCCAGATGATACTGTTCGTTATTCAGCATGGTGCGACAATATCATCACTCTATATAGTGGTATGGAAAAATATCTTTTAGAACAACGTCTTGGCTGGCATTTACCAATTAAACCACTAAGTTCGATTCTATTCGAAAATTCTGATGATTATCAAATATTGTTAAATGATTTTCCCTACGCTTTTGATGAAAACATAATCCATTTTGTTCTTTGGACTAAAGTCCCGTTTGGTCAGGATAAAAATGGTTATTTGGATGAGTCAACCGCCAAATTGATTCAAGAATTTATTAACAAAAAATTTGTGACTCATTTTGGTCAAGAAAATGTTCGATGGTTTAAAAATTATAATTCAGCTTCGAGTATACCAACAATTTCACATTTTCATATTCTGATTTACGATCGAAATCGACAATATTCATCATTGAAAGATGATATTTTAACGAAAATTAATTTTTAGACGAACATAAAACACAACTGATAAAGAAAAGAAAATTGTAAAACTTACAGTGAACACCTGAATGTTTTAATTTTATTTCTTTTCTAACTTATGAAATCGAGGTTTTCATCGTGTTAGTTGCTCTATGCTTCGCCTCAAAAAATGCTGAAACTCTAAATCATATTAATAAAACCCTATCTTTCAGATGAAAGAAAAATTCATTTTTTCTCAAATGATCAAAGAGTGGTTTTGAATAATAGACTACATCTAGGATAAGAAGATTTTCGAATTAAAAAACTAAAATATTTTCATTTAGTTAGCCTTTTTGGAAAACGGCCGGTGCTTTCTATGAGCATTTGTGCTAATTTACCGTAGATAGACTGTGTAATCTCCTTTCTTCTAAGTGGGCTTTTTAGGAATCAGAAGCGACGTGTCCATAATCACTCATCTGACTTCATAGCGAAAATAGGCACATAGTCCAACGAACCACATATTTGAAGAAACAGGAAGATTCCTACAAAGTCTGCTTAGAAGGAAGCAGATTACACAATCTATCTACGGTAAATTACCTTCGGCTGCAGATAATACCGTTCTGTTACATCTGTACTACCCCCCCATAACAGAAGACCACCTGGTCTTCTATTAATATTTTGTCCAGCAAGTCGAGTTCTAAAGGGTGGTCTTCTATTGCGGTCAAATTTTGTCACCTGCTAGCAGTCGAACGGTATAGGGCATTTTCCCATATTTTTTGGCGGGCATACTAGAAGGAATTTGGGGTTTAGAAGACCATGGTCTTCTATTTGGCTTTCAAGTCATATAATCGGCAGTGATCTTCTAATAGCGGATGGTCCTCATTTTAAGTTCTAATATTCTTAAAACTATATTTTTATAGTCAGCATTGGATGGTGAATACAGAAAAAATAGGTTTGGAGTTTTAGAAGAAAGTTAAACTGGAAAGTTTTGCTTATTTTCTTCCATTCGTTTTGCCCATTTTTAGAAAATAATTATTTGAAAACGTTTTCATCAAAACAATCTTCCAAAACTGTGGTATTCACTTTTTTCTACGTATCTTGACGAGCTCTATCTAACCATGTCAAAAAAGAACATCGAAAAAGAAAATCTCACTTGATTTCTGAATTGCCAGCACCTCGAGTCTGATTTATCTAATTGACTTGAAAAAAGAAGTTTAGAATTTTATTCTTATATTCTGGTTTGAAATGTACTTAATTATAACAACAATATATACTAACGAAACTAAAAATGCTATTGCTGATGTTCGCTAGTAGAATCTTTGATTTTATTTGTGGGAATGATACTTCTAACAATAATTCTTGAATCTGACTTTGGATCTATGGTTGCAAATAAATTGCGTTGTTTGGCATTAACAATTAACTTATTCCATAGATCGTATTGACTTAGATGTGTAAAACTGCCAAAAATATATTGACCGTATTTGGCTCGGGTTAACATGACATTTAGACGATTCATATTTTCCAAAAAACCAATATTCTTCCTGGCCACACATAAGAGAAGTCCATATATTTCTTTCTTTCTCTCTCTTCCGCTAAATGCCATGTTTATGAAGACGTCATTTTTGTGTAGAGTCAACTACGTACACACGATATCAAAATAAAATCTTTTTCCTTTCCTTGAAAACTGTCAACTGAGCCAATTTCAACGTGTGACATATCCCATTTTTGAAATTCTTGTTCCAATACGTGCATCTGTCCTTTATAAGGCGTAATGACACCTATACGTTGTTCAATCAAAAGTGTTGTATCTTCATCATCTAAATTCATACTACCCCATAGCCAGATTAATCGATGACAAAATTTAGCCACTACTTCTGCTTCCACTTGATTATAGGCCGAACTTGCGTAGTCGTGAGAATGTGCGGCTGTTTCGATATTATAATAGAATAAGGGTTTGAATTGATCACTTGATTGAGAGAAAACACTCTTTGCATTATCCAATTCTCCACCATAAAATTCTTTATTTGGATATGAGACAATTTCTGGATTCATTCGATACTGAGTATTTAGCATGATAACAGGTGGATTTGGTTGTCTTTCAAATATTTTATTTAAACGAAAATATAAAGACTGAGATAAATTATATGATTTACTGGCTTCGCTCAACACAACGGTGGCAATTGCTTCGGATCACCAACTAACAACGTCTTTCTACAACCATATCGGAATGGTATTAACGAATCAACTGAAGGTATAACAAAATCGAAAAATTTAATAAACAAGAAAAAACACAGACAATATTACCTTCTGAAGCCTGAGATGCCTCGTCAACAATCAGAAATGAGACACCTGTAGGATCGTCATACAACAATCGTAAACGAGATGATGCACTGTAGTTCAACGTTGATATAATAATTTTGGTACTTTTCAATAGTTTATATTGAATTTTCTTCTCAATTGTACTTCGATTAAACGCTGGTTCGGTCTTCAATTTAACAACTAATTCTGATATTACTCGATAGTCCAAAAAATAGTCCCATAGCTCTTTGGATTCTGGTGGACGGCAACCAACGCGGACAATATGCTCTTTAAAATAAAAAACGCTATTTTAAAATTATGATCAACTATGTGTTAAACAATAGAATATTTACTTTGATTGAGCTTATCACCGCAGTGTTCAAGTATTTTTTTTAGTAATTCATCGCATGCATTGTTCGACGGTGCACATAAAAGAATTTTTTTGTTACCATGTAATTTATCAAATAAATTATCCACTATTCCAGCAATAGTTTTACTCTTACCAGTACCTGAATGTACATAAAAATCGATAAAAACATGGTTAAAAACACCCTCCTAACCATACCTGGTGGGCCATGTATCAAATGAATACGTTCAATTAGATCATCATGAATATCAACAGCCATTTGTATCGCTTTCAGTTGTCGTTCATTGAAATATTTTGCAGTCACATTGTGATATGATCGTTCCGGTTGTTGAAAATAGGGATCAATCAATGAAGGAGCCAACAGACATTCTTGATGGTAGAAAGGTAAATTATTAATTGCTGTTAAACATCGTTTGCTTGACGTCAAACTTGTAAGTCTTGAAATTTCAACATCAGGATCCAACGTGCGACGTTTATGATACTGAACACTACACTGTTCAGATAAATAAATACCAATATGTGTGTGAACTTGAATTGTTCTGCATTTATTATTTTCTTGGTTTACATGTGTACGACGAGCATATACAACAACGCCAAAATAATGATCATTATTAATTTTCATCAGAATAACATCGTATGGTGAGAATAGACGATCTTGTGGATTGTAGTTGTCTGCATAATCCGTTAAAATTTCACCAAAAAATATACGGCTATTTGAACTGTTTCTTACGCATTCCACTTTCACATTCTTTTGCAAATGTGATGCTTCAGTGTGAGCAATTACAAATTCGTTCCATAGTTCATGATAATACAACGGTATGAAGACATTCTGGTATTTGTCAAAAGCCTTTTTAACATCGAATTTGACACCTCTATCTGTTAGAATAGTTGTAGCTTCTTAAAAAAAGGAAGCTGAAGTAGTGTGCATAGAATTCACTGATCTCAATGAGCAGACAAGCAGCCTGCTTTGAAGAGTACATGACTCGTTTACACTTCTCAGTACGACTACTTATAACTTTTGATATACAACATGGAATTTCTTTCAAAATTTAGCATCATATATTACCATTGTAGTAGTTCAAAGTTACGACGAGAAATTAAAAAAAGTTGCTTTGTCTTTTTCATTTAGACTAATTAAGAGGCCTTGTTTCTCCGAATTTTTAATCCAATTTGTAGTTTGCTATAAAGCGCGAAATATTATGCGCATAAAAAGTGGATTCATAGATAATCAACTATGGTGCATCCAATGGATATATTCTCGAGATCTTCAGAGGACTTCTACAGGGCCTTCAGGAGCCACCAAGGGATCTCCACGAGATCTTCAGAAGACCTTTCAGGGTTTATTGAAATATGAAGCTCTAACAAAATATTCAATTTCCTATCAATGCTCTCTTTCGAGCATCAAATCCCATGTTTCCGCCATAGTTAATTTTCTGTGGAAACCCATTGTATCAAATTTATCCCAATATTTTCATTCCACTATTTCTGAAAAAGTTCTTTGTAGATTCGATAAAGATTCTCTGATGATGTCAAGCATGGGTTCATTAGATGCACAATAGTCGATTACCTATGAATTTACGTTGTTTATGAACAATATTCCAAGTTTAGAACCAGAAAAAAAAATTAGGAAATTTTATTTAATGAATCTGATGAATTAACTTTATTTTATTATTTTCTCTACTAATAGAAAAACATTTTGCCCTCCGCGCAATCGTAGAGCTGCAGTCATATATTATAAAAAATGTCTTACATTAATAATTTAATAAGCCAAAGATTTTTTATAAGACTTTTAAATTTTATAAATAAATTTAAAATAAAATTTTAAAAAATTAACTTTTTTAAAATTCTATAAGTAAGCACACTACTATAGTTATTTGTACCAAATTACAGAAAAATTCGTTTCTGGTTTGTATAAAACTTTTATATTATTTAAAAGTGGTCGAATTTTGTATTAGTCCCACTGAGAAGTGTAAACGAGTCATGTCAGATTTCAATTTGGAATTTTTCTAGGATTATTTATTAGCAAGCGTTTTATGCGTTAAAAGATTCTTAATAATTACCAACATAAAAGCTATTCGAAATACGTGCGGGTTTAGAGAACAAAAAGTACCGCTAAATACCTTATTACTTTCTTAGTTTTCCATTTTTGAACTGTTTTCAAAATTTCGTTAAGAAACTCGAAAATGGGAGAAATATTTTTAGGAAGATGGATGTTAATAAAACCGGATACTGAAAATTACTTTTTTCTTTCTAGATTCTCAGTACTCTCTAAAAAGAAAGGTACATTACCGAACTTTTTTCTGATGGGAAATAGATGGTGACAAACGTTTAAACCTTTTCTACTACGAAACCTTACCTTTTCGAAGGTTTCGTAGTACGTACGGAACCCTAAAAAGGCTCCGTACTTGAAAGAAGGTTTTGTACTCAAATACCATGCATGGTATCGCACAAACTCTAAAATCGTTCAATAAAAAACCTCAAGCGTTTTGTATGAAGCCGTTTTGAGTTTGGTATGCTTGGAAAGGTTTCATACAAAATGTCTGAGGTTTTTTACTGAATCATTTCAGAGTTTGTGCGATACCATGCATGGTTCCATAGTTCAGTACAAAACCTTCTTTCAGGTATGGAGCTTTTTTAGGGTACCGTACTCACTACGAAACCTTCAAAAAGGTTTCGTAGTAGAAAAGGTTTAAACATTTGTCACCATCTATGTAAGATGCACCCAGGGCAGCCTTGCAGTGAAATTTATTTTTCGACACTTCATACACCATTCGATAGAGAATTTCGCGGTGATCACGAATATCACTTCCAAGGCTCTCAGAACCCTTTCCTCACT